GTGACAAACTTTGGTGTTTTTTGATGCGTTACTTTCATTTTTGGTTCTACTTTTCATTTAAAATAAGTTTCCATGGTCGGCAGGTATCTAAGTTGTTAAACATCTGAGTGGCGCACTACCGCTACTAGTGGTGAGAAAGTGTATTGCACCTTATTCAAAATCAATGCGGTCTCACGGCCCTCTGCGGCCCAAAGTTAAAAACTGTTGTTCTTTTGAGGCCCTCAATGTGGCGCTCCCATGGGTTAAGAATCTCTGCTTTAATTTGTGCATCTCTTACAGTTGCACTTTTTTTTTAACCACATTACAAAAGATGTACACAATAATTGGGGGAGGACATCTTGGTAAATGTTTGGTTAAAAGACACTTTGTCAAACCGAAGAAATTAGTTTTTGATTGGTGTTTTGGCACTACAGCTTGAGGTGCATTAAACCATTTTATTTAAAAAGCCCTTAATTCTTCCTACACAATGATTAATTTTTAATAACCTGTCAAATGTAAAACCAATCCATCCATTTTCTACCACTTATCTGTGGTCGCAGAGGAAACCAGGACACCCCTCTCCCCAATAGAGTTGGGCAATATTGGCAAAAAAATTCATCATGATTAATTGTGATATTTAGCCGATAATGATTAATATGACGATTAATCCCAGAGTCCCTGGATGCCTGCATGCCCTTGTTATGTAACCACTTTAAATCACTTTAGTGGGAAAGTGGGAAAGATTTGCTCATAGTAAAAATCTGTTCCAAATTRTGTCAACACAGTACAGACTTCAGGCTATACATCAATTTTTAAATTGTGTTGGTAGGCCAAGTAAAACCGGAGTTATGATAAATAAAGTACAAAACTTTTTTAAAAATGTTTGTTAGATTTGAAGCATAGAGTAGCAGCGAGTGGACTGACYGGTGAAATCTCCTGTCAGTCTGCCTGGTGGTATTAATCRTATTAATCGTCAAGTGCCAAAAAATAATCAGTTGAAGTATTTCTGACAATTWATTGCACACGATACGATTTTGCCCAACCCTAMTCCCCAACAACATTTGAGCCGTCCTGGGAGATCCCGAGGTGTTTCCTGACCTGAAAGGATCCATAACTCCTGCAGCAAGTTCTAGGTCTGCCCTGTGGTCAATCTGATGCCTGAACCACCTCAACTGAATCCTTTCATTGTGCAGGAGCTCGGAAATAACCAGACTTCCTTTGAAGTATTGTAGTTAATCTTGTACCTTACATAATCCCTTTGAAAACTACTGTAATGCCAGATGTCACAGTAGTTGGATTTAAAATAAGAATAAAGTAAACATTACCTCAGCAATGGCAGCTTTGTGCACRTTCAGCCAAGTCAGCAGATCCACTATCATGGCCCACTTGTTGCAGATTGTGTACCGATTACATTGGTTGGTGGCAGATTGCATCACCGATTGCGTAATTAACCAAAAATTCAATAATCTCATTAATCTTGATTTTGAGGCAGATGGACACAGTATGGCTGGTAGCTTTTCTGTATTATCCCTCTAATGAGACGTTTAACTGTCGTCATAAACAAAGAAAGACTTTGATTCAAATGAAACCTGAAAAGTCTCCCAACAGTGGTGAGACCACCAGTGTGTCCTGAGACGTCACTTATCAGATAAAAGTGGTGTGTACATGCATGGGATCTTTTTTTTCTTCCAGAAGGTAACACAGGGTTTAACTGTCTTCTCAAAGCCTCATCACCTTTCTTTCACCTGCCTGTGGGTGTCAGTCTTTGGGGAGCTGGGGGGGCGCGGGCACTAGTCATCCATGCGATGCAGATCAGAACCAGATGTGGCACGTGAAGCTGGGCTCTCCTGCAGGTTAGAGTCTAACCTGTGTAAAAAAAACTGTCAACTCTCCAGTCGAAGCTCAAATCCCATGTTTTCCTCTTCCCAACAGGCGGCCGAGTGAAAACGTGGAAAAGAAGGTGGTTTATTCTGACTGACAACTGCCTGTATTACTTCGAGTACACCACAGTAAGTCCACAGATGTGTGTGTGTGTGTGGGGGTGGGGG